AATGCGCTCCCATCCATGCCAACAGCCGGTCCACACTGGTATGCTTGGAGAGGGCAGGAAGGGGGCTATAGGCCTCTGGGGCTTACGTGCTGGTCCCTGACTCGGGGCTGGCCCTCTGCCTGTCCTCAGTGCCCCCAGGGTACCACCCGGAGGCCTCCTTCAGACACTGCTTTCTCATCCTTCCCAAGTCCCACCCAAAGGCCGTGGTTAATGAGTTTGGCATTTAGAAATGACACCCTGAAGATGACCTGAGCTCTGATGATGATTTCCTCCCTTTCTTATAAAGTCGTCCTCCTCCAGGAAACCCTCCGGACTTCAGTGCAACCCAACTCACATAGCTTCCTGCGATTACCAACCCTGTTTGTTCTTTTGCTGGTTCACATTGATGTTCCAAGGAACTGGGGCTCTGCCCAGCCCATCGGCCTTTCTCCTGCTGCCTCAGGCCAGGCATGTAGCTGGCATCCCATAGAAAGGGTCTTGGGCTCCTCTAATGCCCCTGTGCTCAGTACATCTGAAAGTCCATAGGCCCTGGGCTGGCTGAGGTGAGGGATGGCAGGGGTCCACATCCTGAGAGAACAAAGCCTGTCGAAGACCACCAGCCCATAAGGGCCAAGGCGGGCTTCAGCCCGGGTCTCTCACCGCTTGGTCAGCACCTTTGTCCTCCCGAGTGTGGTACATCTTTTTAGGACTGTGGCCCAGGGTCCTCCCTAAGTCCACGGGGTGACCCACGGAGGGAGGTCTCCACCTGCATCTGTTACCTCCAGCCCACCCATGTGAAAGCCAAGAGGACTTCGCCCCCCCCACCCCCTATCTATCCCCTTGAAGAGATTTCAGCCAATTAGCACATACAGTATTTACTTAATTAGGGTAATGGCATAATTAGTGTAACTTGGGCTCCATCACATGGCTTCAACATGCAATTAGGAGCTGTCAGCGGGAGGCGACATTGTGAAAATGCTCATTCAATTTCAGTTCCAGCATGGAGGCCCGAGCAGCTGCCTCTGCTCGCGAGGGAGGCGGGCGGGCGGGCTGTGTGTGTGAGGCAGTGGACAGCCCAGGACAACAGAGGGCAGTTCCCGGGGCTGATGGGCCCCTGACCCAGCCTACTCCATTTCCCTGGGCACTGCCACCCCAACCCTGACCCTAGGGCAAGGAAGGGTTTGTGACTTGGCTGGGGTGACTGGGACTGGGAGCCCGAGCACTGTGGGCCCCTCTGCTCCCAAGTTCTCTGTCTGAAATGCCCTACTAGCAGACTGAATGATCTCTCTCGAGGGCGTTGCTGCTCACAAGAGCCATCGTCTCATGCCCACTGGCCTGCTGGCCCTTCACAGTGGTCCTCAAAGGCCACAACCTGGCAGACTGGGGATGATTTCTACTGTCATTAGACCAGAAGGGGAAACTGAGGCTCAGGGCAAGGGAGGTGATAGAGCCACGCATGGCAGTGTTGACCTTGCAAGGGTCTTCATGCCTCTTTCTCATGGGCTCCTTGCCCGACCCACTCAAGGTCAGGTCCCAAACCCCAGCCTTGGTTCTTTCAGGTCAGTGACTCCCCTCAGGCTGAGTGCAAGTCTGCCCTGCTCTGACCACACAGTTCAGGACTTCGAGAGGGACTTGGTGGAGCAGAGGCAGCCAGATGGAGGTGCTCCTGGTAAGATGGGGTGTCCTCGAGTGGGAAGGTCTGGGTTGGCCCCTAGGTGGGAGACAGAGATTCTCTGGTTCAGAAGGGCAGGAGCCTACCCTGGGGCAGACGGAATGGCCGGGCAGAACTGTGTCCCCAGGGCCCGACCCTCAGGCAGGGTCCAAGTGAAGTAGGCTTGCAGGAAGCCGGCGGGAGGCCGTGGTTGCTGGCAACAGTCTCAACACTACTAAACCCTCTCCGCCGTCCTGTTCCTGTTAGGCCCGGGATATGATCTGTGAGGTAACGTGAAGACCCACTGGAGAAGGCCTGGCTGTGGACATGGGGTGGTGGCCAGAGGGCCAGAAGGCCTTGACACTCAGCTTAATTGGATCTGGCTCCCCTGAGCTCTTCTGCCATAGGAAGAGGCCTGTTCAAGCCAAGGAGGTGAGGACCAGCACAGGAGGAGAGGCTGAGGCCAAGGAACCGGTGAGGTAGCCATATTCACAGGTGGGGGGTGCTGGAGGGTGCGAGGTCAGGGTTGTCGTCGTTGGAACTGGGAAGCCTGGGACTGTGGAGAGCTGGGGCAGCCTGTTCTCACTTGGGCTCGTTGTCCTAGGTCCATACTCAGGTCCCAGCTACATCCTCAGCCCTGCTAGGCCCCACAGCTGGGGGGCTTCAGAAACCTCCCGACCCTACTTCCTTTCTTCTGCAGGTATCTACTGCTCAGTGTGATGGGCAGTCACTGGAGGGTTTGGAACTGGGGAGTTCTTTTTGTTTTGTTTTGAACTATGGTCACAGCTGCATGGAGACTGGATTGTGGAGGCTGACGGCCAGGGAAGGGGCTATTGAATGGGAGCTGATGGTGGCCAAGACTAGTGCTTGCCAGCAGGTGGCAGGAAGTTGGCACTTGGGACACTCTCTGGAGGCAGGGCAGTGGGACTTCTGTGGGTGTGAGGGTGGCAAGGGCAGGTCTTCAGTGCTGCCCCTGACCACATGAGCAAATGGGGTGGCCCTTTTCAGAAGAGGGGATGCTGGGAAAAGCAGGCCAAGGAGTGGAAGTTGAGGGTTCCGGGTTGTCTGTGTTAGGGTTGGGACCCCTGAGGTTGGATAGGGGTGGAGGTGCCAAGGAAGCATTTGGCAGATTTAAGTCTGGAGTTGTGGGTTGGGGGCACCCTTAACAGAGTCCTGTCACCCCGTGATCCCTTTTCCCAGCCCCCCGAGCCCCTCAGGTACCTATGCACAGGCCCCTAGTGTGTCTACAGGCCCACCCCAGGGTCCACACCTGCAGCTGGCCATATGGCCTCCAGCCTTGCAGGACCGTGTCACTGCTAGGCTGCAGTGATGGTAGCTGGCCTGACCCGTCTTTAGCACAGAGATGTGTGGCTCCTATACAAGCGCCCAGGCACCCAGGGGTTCCAGTGAGCTGATGCTCTGGAGGCCCCAGCCCCTGCTCTGGAGCTCCTCCCTATACCCATCCAGTGAGCAGAGACCACCTTGCCCTCTCCAAGCTAGAGAAGCCAGTTAGACAAACGTGGCCTTCCTGAACCAAGGCCCGACGGGCGGTGGAAGGTGCTGCAGTGGAAGCTCCAGAGGCCAGCTGTCCTGGTGACCCTCTGCCCAAGGCAGGGCTGGACCCTACTCTGGCAGAACCCCAGTCGGGCTTAAAGTGCACCTCTCTGTGCCGCGGCCTCCCCTCAGAGGCTGTTGAAAGAGTAACTCTGAATCCTTCCTACAGAGGTCTGTGACTGTACAAACCAGCCAGGTCATGCCTCTCAACCCTCAGCAGCCACAGTGACAGGGGTGCGGTGCCGCTGTTCCTGCAGGTGTGGCCCTGGCCCCTGCCTCACCTCACCCCGGGACTCTCAGCTCCCTGGGGCCCACTCCTGGCAGACAGGATCACTCCTGAGTGTCCCTTCTATGGGGAGAGGCGGCGGCGACTGCCAAAGCCATCCTCCAGGTCCCACGCTCCTCTCTGCCAAGCACATTAGGGGATAATTAAGTAAAAATAGGCCTTCCGACCAGTGTAGCTCATTACGGCCTAATTAAGGTAATTAGTTCCAGGTGTGGATGGCGGGGCTCAAGTGAGGCAGCGGCTGTTGTTTGCGGTAATTGCATTTTCGCAGCCGCAGTGGTGGCGATGGTAACTGTGGCAGAGGCTG